AAAAAAACCTTTCCCTCAAATGGTTGCTAACTTGGACTTTCTTAACCCTTTGCTCTGTCAGAATACACTCTTTCCTGAGCCCTTCCTGTTCCTTCAGTACTTATGGACTTGTGCTATCCGAATCTGCATCAATTTATATGATTTCTTTATTTAAGCAGGTTTGGTGGCACCGTGTTTTCAGTTTATCATTTTATCAGTGTGTTCTTGGGAAAAGGAACAGAGGCTCTTTTTATTTTTTCTTTCTTCTCTTTTTAATCATTTTTTTAAAGGTTTGTCTATCTTGTCTCTCTCTCATGTGTATGCATGGGCGGGCGTATGTGTATGTGTGCGCGTGCGTGCGTGTGTCCTGCTGCTTCTTCCTAGAGGCTCTGTTTTGTCAAGTCTCCCCCACATCCACTCCCATATGTTGCACATCATGGCCAACTGATGTGAACCGGTTTCATTTGAGGGGTTCCTCCAGCAAGCATTTGCAGACCCTCATGAGAGCACAGCTCAATTCTAGAACCTTCTCTTTTTCTTTGTATGAGGGAACTTTTTAGCATATTTTGGAGCTTAAAATTTTATCCAGAAATGCATTATAAAGTGAAGCTGGCCTATTGAATAGATTAACACACAACTCTGGATATACATCAGAGTGAAAATACAAGAAGTGACTCATCAACAAACCCCAAATGGAAAAGGAGAGCAGATGGTGGTTAAAAGAAATCTGAGAAAGCCTAGAAAACACAGGGTGGTGGAGACGCTAGCAATGTGAAGTCAGGGGCTGTTGTGTGCTCATTGTCTTCCCTGCAAGAAGACTGGCTTATTGTTGTTGGGTTTGTTGTTATTGTTTTAAATGGGGAGATGAATATGAGGATCAGTGTTCAAGCCCAGGGGCTGGAGAAGTGGCGCACATCTGTAAGCCCTGCGCTGGGGAGCAGCAGAGTCAGGTGGATGCTCAGGCCTCACTGATCAGTCAGTCTAGATGACATGGCTTGCTCCAGGGTGAGTGAGAGCCTGTTCCAACAAGTAAGATGGAAAGCCATAGCCTGAGGTTCACGTCCAGCTGCCACAGGAGCACGAAGGGGCACGGGCACACCTTCCCAGGGACAGGTACAGGGGTTCAAGTTCAAGGCCATCCATGGCTAGCCTGGGGTTATATAAGACCTCGTCACAAATCAACCAGCAACAAAACCCAGACAAAACCAAACAAAAAACAAGGGTGAAGCCAGGCACATGCCTTTATCCTAGCACTCGGGAGGCAGAGAAAGGCAGACCTCTCTGAGTTCTAGGCCAGCCTGGTCTACATAGTGAGTTCCAAGACAGCTAAAGTCTATGTAGAGAGGCCCTGTCTCATTTGGAAAAAAAAAGTCAACTAAGTTCAGTTGGTAGAGTGTTGGCCTGTATTCAGCTCCCAGGACCACATAAACTGGTTGTAGTAATGAATGTCCATAATGGCACCACTCCCAAGACCAGAAGGCCAAAGTCATTCTCAGCTACAGCCTGGGCTCCAGAGGGAGTTCCAGGACAGTCAGAGTTGTTACACAGAGACCCTGTATTAAAAAGCAAAACAAAACAGAAGAACACATAGTAGATATCACACATGCTACAGTTATTATTCTAATTTACTATCCTAAGAAGCTTATAAGGTAGATCTTATTATCTCCAGATTACAGGTGGGGACTCTAAGATGCAGACAGGTTAAGCAACTTACTTCAAGTCACCCAGCTAGTAGGTAGTCAATTGAGGGGAGTAGGATCCTGGCAGTCTCGGAGCCCAGTCCACACCCTCAGCTGCAGTGACTACCCAAGACACGGGTAGCCACAGAAGGCCATTTGCCAGCCAAAAGGACTTTATAAGCAAAGTAAGAGACGCCTCTATTTCTAGAAACATTCTTTTTTTTTTTTTTTTAAGATTTATTATGTATACAATACAGTGTGCTGCCTCCAAGTATGCCTGCACGCCAGAAGAGGGCACCAGATCTCATTGTAGATGGTTGTGAGCCACCATGTGGTTGCTGGGAATTGAACTCAGGACCTCTGGAAGAACAGTCAGCATCCTTAACCTCTGAGCCATCTCTCCAGCCACTCTAGAAACATTCTTGAGAATCCTAATAATATCATTGCTGTTTGATTCAGCACCTTTTTTTTTTTTTTTTTTTTTTTTTTTGTTTTTTAAGACAGGGTTTTTCTGTGGCTTTGG